TTTTCAAATAATTTTTGGACTTCGTTTAAACATTATCACCAACAATGACAACTTGTAGATTTTGGAGTAGTACAGAACATGATCAACATGTCGCTTAATCGCTTAATCGACTTCTTTTGAGGATTTAAGTGAAATAATTTTCTGAATCAAAATAAACAAGAAAAACGGCAGAAAGCTTGCACTTGACGAGTAAATTTTCCCAGATCTTTAAAGAACATACAACTCAAATGTATTTCTCCGACTTGGCTACTGTGAGAAATCATCATTAAAAACAAATAAGACCGAAGCTAAATGAGTATGCGTATGGGTGTGGATGTGGATGTTCTCTTCACCAACAGCAACACCCACACCTCACCCTTAAGCATAATTATAAGGGTTTAAGTATAGGAATAAAGATGTAGGTATAGAAATAAGAGTACACGGGTAAGTAGATAAACTAAATGTTATTGACGTGAAGGTCGACACAAAATTTCATTTTCGATTTGGCACAGGATTTCCTATGAAAAACATAGGTGTGGGTGTGTAGGTGTTGGATGTCAGCAGCGATGCTGATCATCTCTTTACACCCACACCCGTGCAGAGCACACTTCTCGCACAAACTGCGAGTACATTATCTTCTGCATTTCTATCGAGCTTTCTTCTTTGTCTATTCATTATGATGGTTCATCTAGCTCATCTGGTAGAATTCATCGATCATCTGAAAATTCTATAACCAATGGAATAGTGGATTGATTTGGATTGAAAGGACTGGGGGTAACTGATCCGATTCGATCAAAAAAAGTAAACGCTTAAGGAACAAAAATATGATTGTCCTATCATATTACAGAACATGTAGAATGTTTGAGCCAATTATTTATAAAAACGAGCTGTTCGGATCAAATTTGTTTGCTTACTTTGATTTCAAATGAATTTCAACATTGTTTGTGCAACAAGAGCGTGCTCTGAGAAGAGCCACAAAAGAAAATAGGAAGGCATCTACGTTTCTCTCTCGCTTTATTTCGTTTTGATTTATTCTTATCGTACTACCACTACGAGGGTGGGTGTGGGTGTGAGTTAGTGAAAAAATACTCCACCCATATCCTCTCGTCTGTTTGATAAATTAATTCAACCATTTTACTGAATGGTTTTCATGGTGAACGACGTACAATTGAATTGACATTGCTCTACAATGGATAAAATAATTATGATCATAAAATAACAAATTCTTCGTTGAATGTCTATTTTAGCTGTGCATTCACTTGCATTGAAGCCAAATCCAACAAATAATTTGCTTCATACTTATCAACATCATCTTCTCCTTTGCCAGTACTACTTCTCAATAACAATGACTTTCTTCGTATTCGTCAACAGTTACTTACTGAATAGACAAGTAACGAGAAGAAAATTACCAAGAATACTATAAAAGCTGATAATACCAAAGAAGTCACAAAAACGAAGAAAAAAGATTTCGAGAATCGTCTGTTCATTTCGATAATGGGCATGAAATTGATGTTGGTGGTCAAAATAGCCCATCTCTTCGAACTCTTCTTGTAAATGCGTCTCTTCCTCATGGATCAATGTTTGCAGATTAAAACATATGAATATAAAATGGAAAATTATTACTCATTCCTCTTTAGAGATCTTTTTCTTTTCTAAGGAGTTATATGTCTTTTCTTTCGTTATAGAAAATCACTATCTATTGACTGATACAGAGCAGCCTGTTGATTCTTGTATTAATTTCTCTGTTAGAGAATTGATACTTGAAGAAACATAAAGTTCTAACCAATTTTACTGGGTATTTGAATACAAGTCATCTGATGAGATCTCTTGAGTAGGGATTGAAAGTGGTCATGGCAGCTCTTACTCATCCACACTCTCAAGATAGATTTTAATTACATTTATAATTTAGAATGAGATTTTTTTATGACATTTTCGAATAAATGCGCACAATCTAAGATATTGTGACAGCTTCTATATTGCTAAATGAAAAATATATTAGTATCTTGGGCCATCTTGAATTATTTAGTTAAAATAGAGAAACCAATAAAAAACAAATCTTTGTTTCTTATCAATGTGTTATGCAGAATAAGTTATTTATCTTTGGTTTGTCTCTGACCTTCAATCTTCTTTTTTTGCAGTGAAGAAAAAAAGAAAGACAACTGATCTGACAAAATTACAATAATAATTTCGACATTCTTATTTCTATACAACAATGTAAATAGAGGAAACATATATGCAAAAAATAAAATAAAATCTAATATGACTTCGTATATCAATGCATCTTCACCAACAGGAAATGATCATCGAATCAAATTACTTGCTTCCGATTTAATATTTAGTGGTGTCGATAATGTTTTTGTTTATCCATCTCTTGATATCGATCGATTACAAAATGCTCTGAGATACACACTTTCTTTCTGGCCAATTCTAACTGGTCGTATTCTTGTCAACGATAATGATCAATATTTTATTGAATTCTCTGATAATTCTATTCCATTTACTTATGTTGAAAGTGATCAACTTGAACAATGGTCAAATCTACCTGTTGTTGTTAACGATATGACAATACTCCAATCATTTATTGATTCAGTTCAATATAAACCTGACATAGAATCACTTCTTCGATAAAAAGTGACTCGTGTACTTCGTAGTGATGAATATATACTTGGTACAAGTTTTTTTTTCATATGATTGGTGATGCTGATTCAAATATTCATTTTTTTAAATGATCTTTCTCAAATTTATCAATATCTTGAACCTCTTCTATCTCGGCCAATTTTTGAACGACATTTATTGAACAAAGAAGATCTAGAATTTTCTTTATTACTTGTTATGAAATTATTGCAAAAATACGGATAAAAGAAAAGTAGTATTAGCTCGTGTTGCTAAAGAACAAACAGAAACTGATCCTATTAACATGTCCTTTTCTTCTGAACAACTTGCTCAATTACATATTCGTGCTGGTGGAAATGATGATGTAACAATTCATGATGCACTCTGTGCTTATATTATTCTTGCGATGAATAAATATTTTTTCCTCAGCGAAGACGAATATATTCGACGTATCTATATTACAGTTAATTATCGAGCTGTAACTGATTTGTTGGCAATAAAAGGTTATGTAGCTAATGCAATTATACAACCATTATCTTCTAATTTTCCAAATCCTCTTTCTTTATCTAGTATTACCAAGACAATTCGACAAATAATTAAAACAGCACGTAAAGAAGATTTTCTAGGAAAATGATTAAGTTCAGCTAATGTTTTAATGACACGATTTAAAAAGAATGGACGTGTAAATTTTGTATGGGATACAAATGAAGCTGTATTTAATTCTAGTTTTAAATATGATTGGACAAATCAATGTCGCTTTCATACAATGGGATTGTTCAAGTTTTATTTTCGAATTTTTCGATTGAATCCTGTGAAAGGAAAAGATGAAAATTGGATAAAAGATAATGAAGGTGTAGAAGTAGCTTTTCGAATTCCAAAAGGAGAAAGAAAGAAGAAATTTTTATAAGCATGGAAAAAAGATATTGAAGAAAATTTTGTGAATGTAAAATAAATATATATATACGATAAATTGAAATATTTGTTTATAATATCAAACTTTTCTTTTTTTTACAAACTATTGAAATCGAAATTATTAGTTCTTTTTAGAGACATAAACTGTTCTAATCTCGAAAATACATGAGTGTTGATAAAGCAAAAAAATTGATTTAAAAGAACAATGAAAATTGTTACTATTTATCAACGTCAAGTACAGATATTTTTATCGAACAACGGGAAACTATACATCATAGAACTTGTAATCGACTATTAATCATCCTTTAGGATTTAAGTATCTCAGTGGTAAATACCATACTGTCCGTTCTTCCTTATAAATTGATTATATTTATGAGTATGTACACTCACCACACAAAATTTAATTTTGTTTTTTTCAATATAAACATTAAAAAAATGACTAAACATCACCTTCAATTATGATAGAATTAACAGCTCTAATCAATGTATAAGGTCGGTCACGTCTATGGTGCAATGACTCCTAGATTGATGAATACTACCAGCTCTGTGCGCTCTATAAGTTTCTTGGAGTTTTCAGACATGCATCATACTATGTGATTTCATAATATGTCTATTTAGTTTAGTACTTCGCAGGAAGGTCGAACTTTTTAGAGTTCCTGGAGTGCAGAACTCACAAAATCTCCTAGTATGTTTGAATTTTCCCTTGTGTCAATCTTATGTTTGATCGACATTTAAAAAATACAGAACCATTCATTGTTCTATAGAACAATTGCACGATAGTAGTAAGGTACAGAGCATCATCATCTTGACAATCACACTATATTTATGACAGGCATGTAACCGATCTAGTCAAATTCGAATATAATTCAAGACATAATGTGATAATGATTATGTAATTTTCTTTTTGTTATTGTTTAACAATAGCCCTATTTAACTTCATGCTCATTTTTTTTCTCTCAGAAAAATTCAGAAACACTATGTCTTCACTTATCATTGTACAAAAAACGCTACTGTAGATCTTGTACTGATTTTGTAGCTATATGAACCTTGAATTAATTGCGTGAATGCATTCAGTGAAAATTATATCATCTGAAGAGATTCTTAAACAGAATCAAAACTAGTCGTGGTACCTTATTATTCTTCATTGATTCATGCATTTGTATCCGCAATTCACTCCCTAAATTATGTATTGTGTGTTCTGTTATCATTCGAGCGTGTTACAATAAATATGCAAAATTAAAAAGAAAAAAGAAAGGAAACCGCAGTTCTAGCAAAGTGAAGTTGCGAGAAATCAGAAGAAACGCATCGCCCTTATGCAAGAGTAAATTCAATAAAAATAAACTTTCTCAAGTCTTTTCTTTAGTGCTTCATGATAATGAGAAATGACGTGAATACCACTTTCATTTTAGCACGTTTTGAGCCATAGAATGCTAGCAGCAATTACTCAAAAATATGTTTCTCTTTTCTTGTTCTGTTTATAATTTAATTGATGTGTTTACCGGCTCATTTTTTTATAATGCGTTGCAACAGTTATGAATAAATGAAAAAAGAAAAGAAACATCCTAACACTCGTCTCATTCAGCTACATGTTCTTGAGAGTAACGTTTCTTCTTCTTGTTTGCAATGTATTGTTATCAATGACAACGCCTGTTATTGTGTACAATAATGCTCGATTTGATCCTTTCGATACACGCAACGTACTTGCTACTCTCGTCTCGATCAGTACTGAGAACGCCTGCCTCTGTGAATGCTACCACAACTCGATGTGCTTGACTGTAACCTATTTTGTCATCAATCAAACGTGTTCATTGTACTCTGCACAATTAAACGAAGGTCAACTGCGGATAGTACCGCTTAATGTTAATGCAAAGGTATTCAACTTCAGAAATCTGAGCGTTGCTGGTGAGTAAAAACCATATTTGCGCGAAGTATCTAATACGAAATGCATCTTGACTCTTTCATCGCACTCTGTAGGATTAGGAAGATCAGACAAATCTAATAAAGAGAACTTAATTATGTCTTCTGTTCGCATTTTATCGTGCACACTTAAAATCTTCTATCAGTTACTATCTATTATTCATAATACGTAAGTTATTAGTACGGCAACAGAGATTCTCTGACATACCAAAATAAAATTACGAAAGTGTGGATTTGAATACATTCATGATCATGCCTTTATCATAAGTTGCCTAATTCGAGTTCGAATATAAATGGAGAGGTAACTTTTTATTATTACTTCGAAAATAAATGAAAAAAAAGCCGGCTTCTCTGTTGAAATAGCAAAAAAGCAAAAGATTAATTTCGTATAAATTATAATTTATTAATTTATTAATTCAAAACTACAGCCATGTTAAAATAGCAAAATACCAACAGAAAAAGTTTCTATAAATATTAATCTATAGAAACTTTTTCTGTTGGTATTTTGCTATTTTAACACTTGTGTGCCTTTCCATGCACAAATTACAATTTATATAAACTTTTTCTTTTGGTTTTCTTCTATTTGAACATGGGAGTGCCTTTCCATACATAAATTACAATTTATATAAACTTTTTCTTTTGGTTTTTTGCTATTTTAACGTGGATGTGCTTTTCCATTTATAAATTATAGTTCAAATAAACTTTTCTTTTGCTTTTTTTCTATTTGAACGTGGGCGTGCCTTTCCATTTATAAATTAAATTCTAAGTGGTAAGGTATGCCCATGTTCGAATAGAAAAACAGCAAAAGAAAAGTTTATTTGAACTATAATTTATAAATGGAAAGGCACACCTATGTTAAAATAG